AACAACAAATCATCCTGAAGCACCAGGTTTAATTCAAATTTCACCTAATCAGACCTCTCTCTATGAAGCTAGAACAAGTTACTAATGTGCAAGACCAGATAATCCTATCAAACATCCATTAATGAGAAGATTATTAATGAGTGGAAATATGCTCTTCACAAGTGAACATCGCTATTACGAAGCTAACAACAAGAAAAGTAAAAAAACACGAATTAAGAAAAGTAAAAAGGAGATAAATCAGAGTAATTACGTAGAGCATTTGCCCGACATTCCCGTCCTCGGCGGGGGATTCGGGTAGCTGAATGGCGCTGCGGCTCGACGGATTATCAGTGACAAATCCGAACGGATTGAAAGCTGGTTTGCTATCGTCATCTTCAGAAGCCTTGGCAATCGTACGTGCGAATCTTCTCTGTGCCAAAAAACTGGTCGAAGAGAAAGCAGCAATCGTCGGGGACGCCAGCTGCGGCGGCGCCGGCGGACGAGGATGAGAGAAAATAGAGAAAGGCATCGCGGCGGCTTAAGGAGGCGGATGGACGGTGGTGGAGGTACGACGATCGGCTTGTGACGAGCAAGTGGAGGGGAATTATAACGTCTACCACTAACTACTGATACTGAGCCTCATACCAACAAAGACCATAATGCCCTCTCATGTCTATCTATGAGCCGAAAAATAAATAAAATAAAATCGAACCGTGCATTTAGTGCGACTCAGTTATTATTTATGACAAATTTAATTATTATTTTTTGTTTCATTGTGATTTTGCAGCTGATCATACCAAATTAAATGCAAATGTATATATATAATTGCTAACAAACTTCATTTAATTTTATTCCAATAACAATTAAAAAAAATAATAGTTCATTTAATTAAATTCTTGCCAGCATTTAATAAAAATAGACACATCATTTAATAAAAGTATTTATAATACATCCAATAAATTAGTTACACGAACCAAAGATTATTATTATTAAATATTAGTATATATAACGATTTCATATACAATATTAAATACAGTCTTTTTTATACTATATAAACATGTCCTAATTGACGTTTTGATAATATAAAGATACTGTCCTCCAACTAATATATCTATTTTGTATTATAGTTATTGAAATAAAAAAATAAAAACAAAAATTGATCAAATATTTATATTATTTTATTTTTACTAATGATCAAATCTTGAAAATGTAATATTTTTATTATCTATAATTTAAAAATTCATACATATTACTTATAATATTTTATTTATTTGTGCATGTGCACAAGATGATTACTAGTATATATAAAAAAACCAAGGCCAATTTTTTTTTTTTAAATAAAAAGGAACTGAAATGTGGATGTCCTCTCCGGCTTGACAGGATTATTATAATGTATAAAATTTTTTGCTCGATTCATTTTTATCTATATGCGGTGAGGAACTGAGGATCGATTTTTCAATTCGATGTTTTTCAGCACTGTAATACATTGAAATAATTTTTTTCTATATGCGGTGAGATTCAATTATCTATATCTATATACATATTAAAGCAAAGCAGCTGGTTCAAGAGCTGTTTTCCCGCCTAAAATATGTATTAATTGCTATAATTAAGTTGTCCTTAACAATATTTTTCTAATGTCAAAATGACTGGTCATTTGCTTGCATTTAAGTATAATAAATAAACTATATTACTTATGATGAAATTTTTGGGTTCAATGCATTGGGAATAATAATTACAATACTCCCTTAAAATTTATCACCAAATTAAAAATTAGTTATACAAATTAATAAAGTGATTTAATGGCACCAAGTTGTTTACTTCTAATTCAAATTATCATATTTATTTTTTTGACCTTTCAGTTTTTTATTTGAACTCGAACCAATATAAATATATAAAACATTACCTGTTGGATAAACAATATATAAAATTAATATAGATCATGAAGATACTGATGAGTAAATTGAACAAATATATATACATATTTTATAACTCATTAGTTATTTATTAGTGCCACTATAATAATTGAACTTTAAATTTATCTTTATAAGAAATCATGATTGTTGTTGTGTACAAATTGTTATATTTTACCGAGTACCGAATCGAAAGATTCGTTCCCCGGGTCGATCTCACGAGGAAGACGGTTCGGAATTCAGCTTTGGTATCGATCACACATGAAAAGAAAATAAATCCTACACACTCTAATCAGATAAGGGATGGAATACTACTAACTAAGAAATAATAAAAAGCAATAATCTACCTAAAAATGCGAATGAAACAAAGATGGAGAAGCTAGAGAATCGGGGATAATTAATTCAAGTTCTAGCAAAGCCGGGCAGTCAATTGTTCGGTTCGAGATTGACACTCTCGCTTAAACATCTAGCGGTTCGCTCCCAATAACTTTTCGTAACAAGGGATTGAACATAGACGAACAAGCTCGAGCACACAACACAGGTCAATTATCCCAATCCCAATAACTTTTCGTAACAAGGGACGGGTCATCGACAAGCACGTATTTCAATCTCAACCCATAGATTATTCAGCTACGAAATCATCTATCTCATGCGAGCCTAGGTCTACGACTTCTCCCCTCTCGGTTCTAAAAGTCGCTA